CTGCATACGTGCCGGGCTGTGATTGGCTCATGTATTTAAGTGACTTGTACAACATGGAATTCATAAAACAGGGAACGTATCTACCATGTTATAGGGGAGTCTACTGTATACAGTACTAAAACATCTTACAGAACCAAAACTAACTTGAGTAAATATTTACTAGTTACTTTTGGTTCTGAAAGGTGTTTTAGTTGGTCACATGCTACATATCAATCAAGTTTCTGATTGTTGTTAATTTACATTGATCTCTACAACAATGTTTTATTTTGATCTTTATGATGGACATATACAGTAGTATGCATGGTCTGCAGCTGCACATGCTTGTTTTAAATGGTTGATGGAGTTGATAGGCCCTGTCTGTTGATTTAATATCTCTTGATGTTTTTGTTGGATATCCACATCCTCCTTGGAACTTGCATGTTTTAAACTGTTTTAGATAGAATGTTAGAAGAATGACATCACATTTGTGTTTTTGTATGAAGTTGAAACAGAAAAACCTGTACTATGGAGCTCAAATTCATTTTCCTAGAAAAAATCTAGTATTTCAGTTCAATATGTAATGTCTGAAATAATTACAATTTTACAATACAGTACAATAAATATGAACTTTATTTTGAAAGGTAATAAATTTCTGGTTAATTTTTTTTCTCTTCTGTACATAATATCATCATCTCAGAAAACTATTTAGAAACTGAGTATTGAAGTTTATTGTATTAACTCAACACTTTTTTCTATTGATTTAAAGTGAATTTTGACAAGTAAAATAATTCTGTACATTTAAAAATAATAGTCTTAATTCAACTGTGCAATGTTTTTCCTTGTTTACACACAACAATATTACTTTCTGCCTTATTCTAACTAAATCAAAGTTATGACTTTATTATTATTTTGCTTTATTTGCTTCAGTTTTTAAACTACTTAGTATATAAATTATAATAAATTTAGTAATTAAATGTTTATTATAAAAATTATTATAACTATTACCTTATTTTTACGGATAGACCATCATGCCACCATATAACCAGGAGCATATCAGAAACTCTAGGATTACCAGCATACTAGTTAAACTGTGACTAAAAAAGTAAAATCACATGTAACAAAACTAGTTGTTAAATAAATGTTTAAGAAAACATTTTTCTGAGTACAGTAAAATAACAACATTGTAATTTGACTGATTTACAACAGGAACATGAGTTTTATTTACAGGGTAATAAAACAATTAGCAGTTTATTGAAGGTGGTAGTAGTAGTAGTAGTTGTAGTTGTAGTTTGTCATTTTGGGTTGCAGTGACAATCTACCATGAAAATAATAAAATGTCATGGATACTACCTGACCGGAAACGGTAATGCCTTCCTCTCAAGGTAACAAATCAGAAGTTAAACATGTATGTTGGAATAATTTACTCTGAGTTTCTGAAATTTGATATGTTTGTTTTTGTATTTTTGGATCAAATTACAATAAAATAAACATAACAAAAAAAAAAAAAAACACTTTTGGGACTCTAAAAGTATTTTAAATCATTACAAAGTAGACAAAATGCAGAAATTAAACATATAATTATAATTTTTGAGTAATGTAATGTTGACAGTTTTACAATTTTAGAATAAAAAGTGGCATCTACAAGATGCTACACAATGTAGCTCATTTTGTTTTTTTACATGCTCTGTGGAAAGGGATGTATAACCTCGCATAAACTGTGTTGCTGGAATTATCTTGGGAAAACTGGCATGTTGGTTTTTACCATATGGAAATATCTGATTTCATGATCTCTCCCCAGATAGACCAACATGCCAGACAATTTTCAAAAATATAATAATAATAGTTCATGATAGTGTTTATTTCTTACTAAGTTCTATTGAACCACGAATTATTAAATGACATATAGCCTTGCACACTTTTCCAGCTTGACTTTTCCTTATTCCTGTGTACCAAATTATACTCTAAGCAAACATTTTGGCTCTGTTTAGGTTTCTTTGGGCTTATGTCTAAAGAACAAACCAAAAGCAAGCTGAGATTTGTTTCAAATTCCAGAATGATTGAAATTAAAGTTGGTTGCCAAGATTCTTATTTTCACTTTCTCAATATAAATAAATAAATTCTTACTGGAAGTATTAAATAAATATAAAACAAACACCTTTCTCTATTCCAGCACACTTTTAATGCTTTGAATAACGTTTTCGATCGTTTTAATCGATCATCCTCAGTTCAAAATTCGAACTCTACAACGAACAAAGTATTCGAAAAATACAAAAAAATTTTTTTACATTGCTAATTTACGATTTAACGCTAACGCGCATGCGCATACTTATAAAACGTATAAGTTTAAATCTAAGTAATTAAAAATAACGATATTCTATATCAATTAATATTATAACAACGCCGCGTATGCGGTTGCTATATTTAATCTATGCCATCATAAAAGGACTTCCATGCTGTTAATAAACTTTCGGCGTCTCTGTAGTTGATGCACTGCGCGGTCGTATGTGCCTTGTATATTTCAACTTTTTCCAGGTGTTTCACCGCTTGTATCGATAGCACGGTCCTCGCAGCGTTTGCAAAGCAACAGGGAATTGAAGTATACTGGGATCAGGCAGAGATTATTAAACCTACAACATCGATACAAGCGGTGAAACACCTGGAAAAAGTTAAAATATACAAGGCACATACGACCGCGCAGTGCATCAACTACAGAGACGCCGAAAGTTTATCAACAGCATGGAAGTCCTTTTATGATGGCATAGATTAAATATAGCAACCGCATACGCGGCGTTGTTATAATATTAATTGATATAGAATATCGTTATTTTTAATTACTTAGATTTAAACTTATACGTTTTATAAGTATGCGCATGCGCGTTAGCATTAAATCGTAAATTAGCAATGTAAAAAAATTTTTTTTGTATTTTTCGAATACTTTGTTCGTTGTAGAGTTCGAATTTTGAACTGAGGATGATCGATTAAAACGATCGAAAACGTTATTCAAAGCATTAAAAGTGTGCTGGAATAGAGAAAGGTGTTTGTTTTATATTCACTTTCTCAAAATTTCAAATCATTAATTCATATAGCATAAATATGGTAAAAAAAAATTTTATAAATGTTAATAATTCTAAATGTCAGTCATAGTCACACTAATTTGTAGGTCAACTAATTTTTTACTTTTATAACAAATCATTTATTTTATATTGTTAATACAAGGGTTAGTCAAGGTTAAACGAGACTTTTGGGCCTATAATTTCAAAAAGTAACTGTAGCATGATAAAACACGAAGAGGAAGTAGCATTATCCATCCCAAGATTTTGGTAGCAAGCATGATGTGTTTTGTGCGTGTATAACATTTTAGCGATCTTGTCAAAAGGTAATGTGTCCACAATGGTGGAACAGCAGTGCGTAATCAAATTTCTCATGAAGGAAAAGGTTAAACCTGCTGAAATTTTGAGAAGATTGAGTCACAGTATGGGGAACAAATGCTATTGCAAGAATGTATGAATGGTGTCGACAGTTTGATGAAGGATGAGAGCTGGTGACAAATGAAAAACATGGATATGTTTGACCAACTGCAGTAATGTCAGTGAATACCATAGCATGAGTTGAGCAAGTTATCCTGGAGAACCAGCTAGTAACTGTGAGACACGTTGCAAACGAAGTGTTCCTCAGTGTTGGCAGTGTTGAGAAAATCATTCACGAGCACTTACTGTTCCACAAGATGTGTGCCAGATGGGTTCCCGACAGCTGACATGTGATCAGAAATGGGTATGCAAGGAGACATGTGAGCAGATTTTGAATTGGTTTTGTATCGAAGGTGATTAGCTCCCAGCAATTAGTTTGGGTCCCTTAAAGAGCAACTGGGCAGAACAGACAGATGATGAACTGCAGCAAGTTATCCTGTGCTGACTATGATGTCAGCCATTTCTATCTACAAGAAAGGTATCAGGGACCTACCCTGCCACTGGGAACAGTGTCTACATATAGATGGAGAGTATTTCGAAAAATTGACATAGTTTATACATGTTTTGGACATTTCTTTCGGTCTGTAGAAATAAAAGTCTCTCTTAACGTTGAATAACCCTTGTAGTTAGCAAAAAAAAAAAGAAAATAAAATATGAATAATTTAGCATTTAATGATTTTATAAACAATCAAGTCTGAATATTTACAGAATATTTAGACTTGGTTGTTTGTATTTATCTAAAATGAATTTCTAGGTCTATCTATCACTTCCATTCATTCATAGAATGAATTAACAGAAGTGAAAGAGAAAAACATCTTATGTTAATGTTAGAGATGGCACCTTCTCCTGTTGAGACCAGTAAGTGATGTGGTCTCAACAGGAGAAGTATGGGATGTAATGATTTCAGAAAACAATATTACCTTGCTAAGTGCTATTTAGAAATTATTGAAAAATTCTTTGCTTTTAGATTAAATGTTTTTTGAAGTGTCTTTGCCTCTCATCATCAGATAGTCTCAATTTCTGAATGTTGTAATGGGTTTAGAACATTCAAAAATGCATCAGATATACATCTAAAGAAGAAACCAAGAGCAAGCTGAGATTTCTGTTTTGAATTCCAGAATATTTTAAATATATTCTTTTAATTAATTATTGTTATAATTGATTTAATCGTTTGAAATTAAATCAAATTACAATAATCCATATTCTTTTACTGAAGGTACGTGTTCCAAGATACATGTCCTATCTGACTCATCTGCCTTGTTTCTTCCCTTCTCTTTGACTTCTCAAAATTAATTAAATTCTTTTTTAAATTTACAATAGAAAGAAGTCATAATGTTCTTGAGAAAAACATTATTAGTAAGGAGCTGTATTAGAATTTATTGAGTTTGTACATCATCTTTGATTTCTTGAGCTTCTATCCATATTATTCTAATATTATTCTCTCTCCATAAACTAAAACTTTAAAATGACAGTTGATTGATTATATTGATAACAAAAATATTTAAAATTTACTATTTGTGTGAGATAAAATGTTTCAATTTTTGTGTTTTTTAGATTAATGTTGAAACAAGTTTATCATTCAGATTTCTCATGACATATAAAACATAATGGCTGTGGGGATAAGTAGGAATGGCAGTAATGGTGATCCAAGTAAGTAATTCATTTTTANCACTACACAAAAGCCTGGGAACATTACAATTGAATAGAAATACATACATCACACTACAGAAGGCCACTATATTGAATACATGTCATATTGTTAGGAAATTCCTGAATACAGACACTGACACTGACACACTTATTTAATTAGTTTTGGTTGCTATGCCTTGACTCTGATCCGGCATAGTACACAGCCACCGGTTTAAATCGAGTATTACCCACTAAATCCAACATAATAATAATAATAAAGTAATAACAATAATAATACATAAAATTTAATCAAAAATTATGGAAATAGAAGTATATTGTCTAGTACAGTGTTTCCCAACTTCCAGTTTGTAAAAAAATTACACTGGTCCACAGAAAAATATTTTACACAGTTGATGACATTTAAATTTCAATCTAGAGTTACTTGTACAAACTCTGTTACATACAGATAAACATTTATAAGTGTAATAAATAAGCATAATTCATAGTCACATATAATTACAGCTCCATGTAAAATTATCCATAATTTTGCCAATCTGCAATGAGAAAAAGGTTGAGAAACACTGGTCTAGAATAACACTTGTAAAAAAACAAAACTCTGTTCTAAAATTTAAAGAATTGTATTAGAATATTATAATACATTGTTGATGAATTTCTGATTTTGAAGTTTGGCATAAAGGTGCTAAACTTCAAAATTGGTGGGACATAGTTTGATACAATAATCCAGTCACCCAAACAATGTCATTCTATGGGCTATAATGAATAATTGAATGTGGAACTAATACTCATGGAGGATATGTAATACATGTAATTCACACTGGCACTAAATTGCTTTAGAAGAAAGGAGCAGCAAGAGAAGGTTGATGGCATGTTTGTTATCCATGCCATGTTATTGTATCAATCATTTAAAAATTTAACTATGGTTGATATTTTAATCGCTTTAGTTTCCAGCAATTTTTGATATAAATGTAATTAAACATAAAAAATACTTAAAACTGAAAAAAAAAACGAAAGAAATGCGTTAATTTTGAAGAAAAGCTTCAAACTTTATTTTCCATTGTCTTGCCTTTCTATGAAATTTGACACTGATGAGTCATTGTTTACACAGCTGGATGACCTTGAGAACAGCTGGAGTCGGATTTCCCGGGACATTCTCATAGACGTCTCGGGAGGACAAGGGTTTAAGTAGGGTGAATACTAGCTGGCCGTATATTTTTAAATATTTTTTAAAAATTCAAATTTTTATTGCGATTTCCAACCTCCCCGACTTAATTAAACATATATATAATAAAATCTATTAATTAAAAAAATTAAAAAACTATCGGAGGTTGCTTTTGATATCAGAAAGTAGCTTTAAATAACTTTACCAAAGTAAAATCCATGCACTACAACTTTAGAACAATGAATGAAATTTGATATCAAAATCCCATCAAAAAACAATTAAGTGTTAATCGTGCGTCATTAAAGGTAAATTAAAATCGCAATAAAATTTTTTCGCACGGGTAAAAATTTTTGAAAAAATTTGGAGATCTAAAAAACATCCAAAAATTGAAGAAAAAAAATTTTTTTGTTTTAGGGGCGAAAGGGTCGAGTTTTATGTAATGCTATGTAACCTGCCCAAGTTAACTCAGGCGAGAAACTAAAGGGGTTAATATTACAAATAGTTTTCACATTAGTCACATCATATTAAATCTATCAATATCCTTAAAAGTACAGTGGATGATAGGTTAACAAACAGTTCAGATAGCAAACAAATTGGGTAACGAACACTTTCACGAAAGATTTTTATGATTAGACAATGGACACATGTTCAGATAACAAACACTTTACTGAACAAACATAAAAAGAAGAGATGGAAAATAATGAATACTGATTGATTTTCCCTTGTCTTCAGGTAACAATTCAAAACCTTTCTGAGCACGGAAGACATCAACATCGACGCTTAACCCGATACTGATCAGATAGTATTCCTCTGAATTTTGAAACTCTCCCATGTAATTCCAGCTTTTTGTTCACCTTTCTGACAAATAATTTTTTATAGTCTTTGCAAGACTGTCGGATGGGCGCTTGTTAAGTTTTACGTCGGGGTTTATTTATGAAAGGTGAAAGTTTAACTGTCCCATCAGATATTCGTTAACGTTTTAATACCAAATTTCAAATTTCGTCCATGCCTTGCGTTTAAATAATTTTTTGTGGGCTGTTGATTTCTGTTCTCTGAATTTTTGTAAATGCTTTTCTGAACTTTTTATTTAAAAAAGAAACTGATAATATTATGGAGCCTAAAAAAAGGAGTATCAAGAACTGTAGAAACCAAGTAAGAGATAATAGCCAAGGTAGAAAGTAGCCATAAGATGTCTGATGTTGCTAGGCAGTATGGCTTGAACAGGTCTACAGTAGGCACAATCTTAGCTATGAAAGATTATATCAAGAAGTCTCAAGCTACTAATGGAGTAATGAAAATCACATCTGAGAAATAAAGAGCATTTTAGAGTTTATTATGGAACCTGAAACAGATATGACAACAGAAGTCCAAGAACTCTCAAATGAAGAATACCAAGAAACTCGGCGAGATGTGTTTTCTTTTGAAAAAGAGGAAGACGAAAGAGGACCAATGTCAACATCTGCTACTAAAGATCTTTTGAAGAACTGGGAGGATGTCAGAACAACGATCATCCAAGTGGCATCTAAAGCAGAATAAGGTTAATGGGGTTGGGGATCTCTACAATTACNGATGTGTTTTCTTTTGAAAAAGAGGAAGACGAAAGAGGACCAATGTCAACATCTGCTACTAAAGATCTTTTGAAGAACTGGGAGGATGTCAGAACAACGATCATCCAAGTGGCATCTAAAGCAGAATAAGGTTAATGGGGTTGGGGATCTCTACAATTACAATACTATTAATTACTTCCAAAAAATCCTGAAAAGAGAAAAACAATTGATTTTGTACAGATTCTTTAACCCTCCACAAACAGAAAAAACATGACTAATAAAAGTGCAAGACTGCATATATATGGATTTTTAATATTACATATAAATAAACATAGTAAAAAGTATATATTTTTTATTTTTTGGAGTCTCCAGAATGAATTAATCAAATTCTCATAAAAACCTATGGTAAANAAACAGAAAAAACATGACTAATAAAAGTGCAAGACTGCATATATATGGATTTTTAATATTACATATAAATAAACATAGTAAAAAGTATATATTTTTTATTTTTTGGAGTCTCCAGAATGAATTAATCAAATTCTCATAAAAACCTATGGTAAATCAATAATCGGTTAATGAACAAAGTCTTGGAACGGATTATGTTTGTTAACCAATCACTCACTGTACTTACATTATTATTTTAATAAAACTTGAGAAATAAAATCTAATCAGTAAATTAAAGAAGTCAATTCATGCAATAAACTTATTTTATTATCTTAATCAGGACAGTAGCTTCTAGTAGATTCTCAATAGTAATTATTTTTGGCAATTACATTAATAGTAAATCTAGTTTAATTACAATCTATGACAGGTGTCAAACCTATGGCACGCATGCCCAAAGTGGCATGTAAGGAGAAATCATCTGGCACGTAACATATTATACAATTTCGATTTATCATATGACTTTTTCAATCATCCTTTCAGTTTATTACATTATCCATCATCCTTTTTTCAATCAGCTTTTTTATATTTATTCTAATTAAAGCATATTCCTTTAATTTCTTTAAATGTTGTTATTTAAAGTCTAAAACTTTGGCATGCATAAACATCTTTAATTAAAGCTAAGTATGCTTACTACATAGCACACAAGCTCAGTAAGGTTTACCACCCATGATCTACGATAGGGGTGGCCAACCTTTTGCATACCATATGCCAATTTTTTGACAGACGAGTTCAGATGTGCCATATAACTCAAACACTTTTTATACAGTCTTATGTTTAATGTTAGGAGTTGATAAATAGAGATAACAATAAATCTGCTTAATTAGTTGATAAATAGAGATAACAATAAATCTGCTTCGCTTAGGGGAGAAAAGGGAATAACTTAATCACACAGTTGAATTAATTAATTTATGACAGTTTATTGAAGTACCAATTTACAATAGTCAATAATGATCTGTACGAGAGGGTGATTGCTTCATGATGGTGCTATAGCTGCCAGAATCTCGTTTGGTGAAGATTACTCTGCACCACAATTATTGGCACTGAGAACGAGATCAGCTTGGAATAACTTTACTCACAATGAATGTTTTCGGCCATTTACACGCCTGTAAACTGATCGAAAATAAAAATCGCAAGACTCAAAATACATGCATACACTGTAATTTACTATGTGGAGAACACTCGTTTTATCTGCATAATAGACTGTAACGAATTGTGCAACAAATGAATTTGCCAAGACAGACTAAAAAAATTTATTTTTCTATATAATATTCTTAATCGCAAAAATACCAAATCTGGCAATTTTGCTCAGAACTAACTGAAGCACCACTTGTAATTGTCCAATGCGCCATGTTTTGGCCATCCCTGATCTACGACATCACAGACAAGACTGTCACTCTCTGTAAATGTGAAGCACACTTTCATATTCAAATTATATTTAACATTTAATAATTTTATCATGCCATTAACAATTGCAACTGCTTGTTTAGACTTTAAAATATTTTTATTATTACAATAGCTTTTACCATCATATGTCAAGGACTGTCTGCCAGGTTGATATGTAGCTGTCACAACCGTCCTTGTTTTCTGTGGGGTCTTACGATATCAACAGTGTCACTTTATTACATGAAATGAAAACAGCTCCTAGTAGTACTATAAGTATGGTTGCTGTAGTAGGATAGATTGCTAAGTGTTGTCTTTAATATAAAATTCTGAGAACCTATATGGACATACCTAATTCATAATTATGTTTACTTTGCATGTTGTGTGTATGGTTGCACAAATTATCAAGGATTATTAAGTAAAAAACACCTCAGAAGCTGGAAAATACTATAAATACTCAGACACCTTCTGTATTAGTTCCTGCAGGTACATTTATTGGAAAAACCAAGCATTTTTTATCACTTTCAGAGATCTTCATCAGGTTATTATACTAAAGGTATGTTCGTAAAGTCAAACGAGTTAAATGCATTAGTAACGAATCGTTCGAAAAGTAGTAGTCTCGCCCAGTGCGCATGCTCTGTGGTGATGACGTTTCAAATGAAACTCTAGCAAAGTTCACGAAGGAAAGAGTTAGTTTACTTCATTAAGAAAATGGTGCCTGACAATATTGATGTTTCTAAATCTACTTGAGTGTTTAAATTGTGAATTAAATGGTGAAATGATTGAAATAACTGTCCACCTGAAGCAATCTAAGAAAAATATTTCGGATAAGGCTGCATAGCAACATTCATATCTTCGATTTTAGAAACATCCATTTAGTTATAAACGAATCGTTCGAAAAGTCTAATGAAACAAGATTAACAATGATGTCATTCTTGTTTAACTCATTTGAATTTATGAACGTACCCTAAATTCAAAATGCTTCTAGCCCAGTGGTTCCCAAAGTGGGCGCTACTGCCCCCCTGTGGATGGTGAGTAAATCTAGGGGGCAAAAAGATGCAAATAGGTGGCAGGGGACACTGGAGGCAGAGTATTAAATGGTGACCGCAGGCAAAGGTTGGAGTCACTGGCAGGTTCTCTTACCTCTGTTAAAAGGATAAGAAACATTGTGTTTAATGGTTTCCAGATGTTGAGAACAATCTACAGTAAGGACACAAAGTGAGGTTCATAGAAAAGTTTTCCTATTGATATTTCCAAGCCTTTCTCACACAAGAGAAAATGGATTAGGGGGCGTTGGGTATAACTTTATGGAACAAAGGGGACGGTGGATTGAAAAAGTTTGGGAATCATTGTTCTAGCCCAAATACACATTAAATGAATAGCTTATCAGATCATGGCTAAATGAAAAGGGCTTATCACATCAGAACAAGATGGAACCAGACTTAATTATTCAAATATAACTTTTATTAATATAGGAATGCATTTTCGGTATACAGACTCCTCATCAGATCATTTATGTAACGTATCATTAATGAAATAATCGGTATCACGGTTATAGTATTGTCTAAACTTATAACCTCTAAATTTCTATTAATAGTGTAAAATTGTGACAGTCTGTACAACATAATGTCAAAAAAGGTTAATATGAATTGAAACTTATTTATTTCAAAATAAACATAACTAATAGAAAAATTAAATTGAGTAAAAACCAATATTATGTTTTATGAAGACAAAAGGTTAATTTGTCAGTTTTAACAACAACCATTTATTGTTTTTATTATTGTATTGTGCAATTTTAATTAGTTTTAATTTAGTATATTATGTAATTGTATATTGTGTGTTATTTATAATATCATCTGGAAACTGTATTTTGTTACAATATTTTAGATATTTATTGTGTTTACTACCATATGTTGAATATTTAAATGTGCTGACTAGGGGTCTGTGTTCCCAAAATGCATTCCCATGTTAATAAAAGTTGTATTTGAATAATTAAGTCTTGTTCCATCTTGTTCTGATATGATAAGCCCTTTTCATTTAGACATGATCTGATAGGCTATTTGTTTAAGGTTATTATACATTTAAATGCATGATTATTAAGTAAATATTACATTTCACTATGTTTTACTAAAATTTGCTTTATAGTTTTGTATTATATTAAAAAAAATACTTGTTTCTTTGTTGAATTTATTATTAGACAAAGTAATAAACATTATTGTATTTGAAATAAAATACATATATTGTGGACGTTATGATTTACAGTTATATTGAAGATTTTTTTATAATTTCTTGTTTATTATAATAGCTTTCAGAAAGTATAATTTACACATAATTTATTGAATGCTATTAATTATTTTATTGCTGTAATTATTAAAACAATTAAAACAATACTTCAGGTTTCTTTTTCACAATAAGATACAGTGGTATCTTGTACTTCAAATGACTCTAACTTTGTATGTTTGAACTGCATGCACAGTGAAAAAATGTGCTCAAAGCATAAAATAAGCTTCTTAACAAAGAATGCAATTTCAAATTAGCAATAATGTGTTAAATTTCACAACTTTTGTAATTAAATCACACATCTATGTTAAGTAACTAGACCTGTTAAAAATCTGCAAAAACTTTCTGTTTAACCCAATAAATATAATCTTTACTTATTAACCCTGGCATTCAAGAAGTCTATGGAAGCAGAGAAGTCTAACAAGTAAGAGGTAAAAGAAAAAGTCAACAGAAAACGACGTTAAAGGGTATAATTCCTGCCACGGCATTCCAACCTCCGCAATATGTCAACACAGGCATAGCTTCCCTTATTAGAAGGGCATTCCTAATACCTTCTACTCAAGCTATTACCAATATTAAGCTTGATTACATCCAGTCAGCAGTATGTGCAGCAGGCTATGGTATTGCCAAATACATCTACATCCTAAACAGGGTCAAAAGGAATTGACCATTCGTTCATTATTTTAGAACAGTAGAATACAGTCAGGAGGTCATGGGGAAAGTGTTTCTTTCAATGCTGAGAACATATAAGGAGGAACTCTCTCCTTATCTGACAATTATCTCTGCCAACATCATATTGATAAAATTTTCCTTTTTATTTTGTTTAAACTTTTGTTCATTAAGTCTAGGTTCTCACAACATTTTTATTTTATCCTGATTATAGAAAAAAATTAACAGCAATTTTAAACAATTTATTTGTAAAGTTATTTTTTATAGTTACCATGCTGAATTTGGTCTAATTGTATATTTTATCAAATAATTTTCAAATAAGAAATACAGATCAATCAATGTTAAAAAGTTTTAATTAGAAAAGAAAAATTATTATATGAGATATAAATATGCGTTTCATCAAAATAAAATGCCCTTGTAACAGGCGAAAGCCTTCTACGCCAATAAAGATTACTTACTTATTGAATGAGATATTAATATGCGTTTCATCAAAATAAAACGCCCTTGTAACAGGCGAAAGCCTTCTACGCCAATAAAGATTACTTACTTACTTACTGACCTTTTCAAATTATAGACTAAAAACGTTTATCCCAATTATATTACACAATTTTTCAGGTTATGATTCACATTTAATTTTTAAAAATATACCTTCTAAATTATTTTCAAAAATTAGAATTATTCCAATAAATTCAGAAAAATTTACAACATTTTCATTAGATTATTTTAAGTTTATTGANATTTAAAAATTTTAGTTTCGGATCTCTTACATTTTTCGGAAAAAAGTATCCATCTTTAATTGTTTACATTTTTGATTTTTTATTAAGAATTTCAGAATATGGTCGAATATGATGCTCCTTTTTACATTTGCACTTCGCTCCCAACATTGTCTAACTCACAAACTTCATCCGTCAAACTTTCCTTAGTTGAAAGGATACGTTAACCCGACGTAGAGCTACAGATGAGCGAAGACACTGATTGGTCGACCACCGGTCGCCGTAGCGCATATATAAGGTCAGTTTGAGTGGGAAAATTCAAGGTGGCCAAGGAGAGATAAATATCATCTGGCCAACAAGAAGTGGATTTGTCTCACTAACGATAATTTGTGATTGCTGGAAGTGCTATTGCATCGTAAGGTGTTTTCCTGAATAAACTGATACTGGATACATTTGTTGGCGCTATGGATTCGGACACCATTTATTGGACTATTAAGTTTAATATTTTGACTCGTGGGTACCTAAATGTTTGGTATTTTAATATTAATTTAATGCAAATGTATACGTATTCAATAATATTAAACAGAAAAAATAAATATATTTAATAAAAATCTTTGTTTTAACGAATGTACAATGTTGCGGCTCGGTAAATAAGTCAACACTGAAACGAAAATCAGTCTAGCATAAGGAAAATCAGGAAATAACACCTCAAACCGGCGAATTGCACAGTGGCATTATTGTGAATCGGTGTAAATTGAACCGGCATAAACCGAGGGCTACCTGTACTGTACACTATTCTGACAAAACAAATGCATTTCAAGAAACAAATTGAAATAATTAATTAAATAGTTATTGAGTATAAGCTGTAGGCAAAGAACTTGATATGTTAACTGATTCTTTAAAACATTTTATTTTATATATAATTTTAGCCAACTTACATATTATAAATCAATTGTTAATATTTAAAAAAATTTTTTATTACATTTATATTTATTTATTTACATTTTATAGTTGTACAGAGATTATTATCTTCACTTGAACAAGTATGTAATAAAGTAGAAGGTGGGGATGATGAAAGGAGTTTCCTGTATAATCTTCTTCAGAGTAGATCTTTCCAAGCCTTAGTATTTGTAAGTTCATTTATTTTCACAAATTTATTTTATATAAATAATCTGTATTAAATATTAGTTTTAGTTTGTAATTGTCAGGTGTTATAAAAAAAATTTCATTAAAATACTATAACATTATTATATTTGATTTTTTTAATGAAAATCTATTAGGACTAAATTTTTGATGAAATTATATATATACAGGTAACCCCTGTATAACACGGCCCTTCTGTAGCACGGATTCACTCTAACATGGTACTGTTATAGCGCAGATTCACTCTGACACTGTTCGAGAATTGGGTAAAACCCTCGTACAACATGAAACGTAATAAATTTTTACATACTTAAGTACTAAAAGTTCACGAAAATTATTTTTTTCGTGAACTTTTAGTACTTAAGTATGTAAATTTTCTTTTCTCGCCTTCTGTCGATATACATGGTCCTTTTCAAAACTTGTTTCAATGTTGCCAGATTGCGACGCTTCTGCTTCTGATGTTGCCAGACATTTTTCCCTTATTCCATACTTGCTTTATTCTTCATAAGTGCTTAGCACCATATAAGGAAATTTATAAAGATCTTTTAACTAGAAGCAAGCAATCTAAAATTACATACACTTTTTGCAAAAGGTAAAGCATGGATCTAAAGATAATACAGAAAAATAAGAGGATAAGGATAACTTGCCAAAAAGAAAACGCTCTCGATTAATAGTGCTTTTACTGATGACGAAGGAAACATTTTTTAATTTATATTAATATGTATCACTTAAGGAAATTTTAATAAAGATATTTATCTTAATTATGAAAATATAATAGCATGTTTTTTAATTTTTGGAAACTAACCCTCCTTTTCATACTAGTTCTTTGTTTCATATAACACAGATTCGCATAACATGGCAATTTTTTGGAACATAACTCCCGTGTTATACAAGGGTTACCTATATATATATATTCTATATTAATTAGATGATTATTTAGGCTATAAATATGACCATGAATGGCTGAAATAATTGCATAAAAATTTTTACAGTCATTTTGAAAGTGCAAAAATCATATCATATCTGACTTCATACAAATCATTATAAATTGCTAGTTGTTGTATATATTTAAAGATTTTTTTAATAATGGTAGCAGTTAAAAGAATTGCTATGAACAAAAATATACAGTCATTGCCAAAAGTCTTGCACCAGTAATCTGAAAATAAATTTTTTATACTTTAACTCAATTTACACAATACAATAAAAATAAAGCATGTGTAAACCAGAATTGCATGGTTTGAAAATTTATTGTTTTGGTTTTTCTTTTGAACAGGTTTAAGTAATTTTTTATGTTTGGAATATATGAGATAAATATTATAGTTACAGTTTCTTATTACAAAAAATTATTTACATAACATTTTATCACAAGGTTTAATCCAAATTGATCAAAATTATTCCAAATAAAGATGGTAGTAAAATGCAAGACTTGGAAACTATTTGATTTTAAAAAGTTCTTGTACCTGAGAATCTTGTGCTAGGTATTTGAATACTGAAAGGTCTTAGATGTGATCCTTATGAGCTCACATGACAGCAAATGAGCCAATTTTGAGTACCAAAAATGAGTTTCATTCTTAGTACTCAGATTTGTCAGCCTCATTAATAGGCCTTCTTCAGGTTAACTGAGCAAAGTATATTAATAATGACAAATATATGACTGTTTAATTAAGTGTTGCTGGGAAGTAAAGATGTTGGTGTGTGAGTTATTGGCATGTTTTCCCAATTTTGATTTTATATTTGATATTCCTACTTCATATTTTTTAAATATTGATATATTGCATAACAGTATAAAATTTTAAGTATGCAAATATAATAACTCATTCATTTTGCTTAATAAAATTGTTTATTTTATTATTTGATACATGATGGTAGTTCATTTATTCACATCATTGATTGGCTTAAAGAATGTCGGGATGTCTGACACCATCCAGTTTTTTTCTCAGAACTGACTGACTTGAAACACATATGTGAGGGGTTATTGGGGGAAGTGTCTGACTATTGCAGAAAGAAGATAGGAACTTTTGAATTTCTCTACTAAAACAAGTTATTTACTCAAGAAATTCTGTGTATTTTTCTTACATTGCATTCTTTCCAATGCATAATACATGCAAGTTTGTGGTGTGGCTACATGCCATAATTGTATAGTTATAGTTTATTTTTTATTCAATATATTTCCCTTTGTCTTCATTTCTATTGTCTTTCTTTCTGGAAGTTTTTCCCTACTTTTGTTTAACGGCGTAACAGCAGGTGACCCCTTAGTAACAAGGGGAAGGTGTGCGACCCTCAGGGTATAACGGGGTCCATGAGGTCATTCTTGGGTGTAGTATGAGAGAGGAAAGGACACGTGAGGAAGGCTCTCAAAGTTTTTTTGGAACCGAATGGAGACGAGACGGACTTTTCGAGGAGAAAAGAAAACGAGGATAGCGAAAACTGAGAGGGATATTTTCGTTCGTTCTAGAGTGTACAGCGAAATCGAAATTCCTTAGGAAAGTAATTTTTCATTGGCTGTGAATCGAGAGGCTCACTCAACTTATGAAAATTCAGCGTGAAAAATGCCGAATTTATTGGGTACCCAATTTTTTTCTTTCTTCGAGTCCTTTGGAGTGGTTCCAAAGGAATTGTTCTGATTGCAATTCAGCAGAGTTAGAAGATTCTTGGGAACTGGAAATGGAAGTAACTTTTAGCCACTTTCCTCCAGTGATTTGAAATTGGAAGATTTTTCTGTTAGGAGATGGTCTCTCGTTGTATGTTGAGAGAACTTGATTTAATCACTGGGAACTTGGTTGAACTTTTTAGTCCTAGGGCAACAACAAGGATAGACACAACTCTTTCATTTGAAAAGTTCAGACATGCCTCTCTCATTTAGAGGAATGGAATGATTTCTTATCTCTTCATTTGACTCAGATTTTTTAAAAATTTTCTACTAGATACTATCCATAAGCCTTTGTTGATGGACAGTTGATTTACCTCTCATTTCATTTGTATTTTCAAATTGACACCGAAAGTTTATGGGGGTCATCTGAGAACAACCATTTTCTTACATATCTCTCTGATTACATTTACTGTTTTAATGCAATTACAGTAGAACCTCGATTATCTGCCCTAATTGGGGACTGGGGTTGGTCGGATAATTGAAAAGTCGGATAACAAAAATCCATTATTAGTGTAGTATATTATTATATCCCATGTAATTAGTATATTAGTATATCGCTATTAACCTACTTTGCGTTGAATTTTCATCGATGTTAAGCCTAACAAAAATTTTTTAAAATAATAATCGTCGCTATTGTATCGTTAAAAATTAGAAAATTAAGCTTCGTTTAAATACTGGTTCCCTTTCATGGTTGAATGAGTGTTGCCAGCTAAAACACGTAAAAATAATATTAAAGTAGCCAAGACATAGCCAAATATTGAGCGCCACATCACTAGCGGACATTTGAAATTTGCCGACTAGGACGGTCGGTTAACCGAGGAGTCGGTTGATCGGGGGTCGGATAATCGAGGTTCTACTGTAATAGAAGTCCAATTACTGACATATTTATATTTTTACAGTTCAAAGTTTTATCTGGTGCAATATACTTCCTTTATTATTATTATCAAACATTTTGTTTGTCCATACAAATAATCAAAATTTTCAGTTATTTTCCCCATGCAAATGCTTCAGTGTTGTGACAGGACCAACCTTACAGAATTAAGAAAGTATTAAAATTATAACTGGATTTTTTTTATACAATTTTGTGAAAATTTAAAAAGTTTAGTTTCATATTTCATTGACATATATTGAACCCTGAATATACAGGGTTATATCAGAATGACCTTTTAAAAATTTGGGTGATTGTAGAGGATGAAATTTTGAATGTTTTGATATAAGGAACCTATAGCCAGAAATGTGATATAAAGTTTCTACAGCACTTTGCACTTTGCAGTCAGTATGCTGAATTAAACAGCAGAGTACAGTATTTATGACACGTTTTATTGACAAAACAGTAGAGTACAATCAAACTGTACATTGAATCAGTAGCTGCACCACTTTAGAGTAAATGTTCAATGTGACGACCAACAAGTTTGTTACATAATGTACGACGACAAACCATGTTTTGTCCAACTCTCTGTAAGATGCCACGCTTCTTTCTGATGGTATTAAAATACTGCAAAGATGTGCTTCATAAGCTCATGAACTGTTCCTACAGATGTTGCGTATGCAAGGGACTTTACATAACCCCAGAGGAAGAAGTCAAGAACAATAACATGACGTCAATGGATGGAAGGGTAGCTACCAAAGTGAAGGGCGGTCAAATATTTCCTACCGCTGTAGAAACTTTATATCACATTTCTGTCTATGGGTTCCTGATATCAAAACATTCAAAATTTCATCCTCTACAATCTCCCAAATTTTTAAAATGTCATTCTGATACACCCTGTATACATATACCCCCTGTATACATATTGTTTAAGTTGAGTTGAAACAGAGATTTGATTTTCAGATTATTAGTGTAGGACTTTTGGCTGTCATTGTGTATGTAACTAAAGTTATGTATATTGTTCATAGTAATTTCAAACATTTCATAATCCATGTATGTGCTGCAGGAATTACTAAGTGGTTGTTATTCACTTTTTGTAGTGACATGATTTTCATAACTACAAGATTATTAGAATGATATACTGTTTGATGGTACTATTAACATTGTTTGTTGTCATTATAGACAACTCATCAGTTATTGTAACTTTGATATTTAAATATATATATATATATATATATTACAATGTAAAATTAAATTTTATAAGCACAGTTATATTTCTTTTTATCATTTTTAATGTTTTTAAACTGTTATAAATAACAGAATAACTAACTTTGATGATAGTGTGACATAACATGTTCCTCAACAGTTCCAGTGTTCTGTTTTATTTATTTAATTTCAGTTTGTCATATATATTATGGTTTTTGGAAGTTGTTTTTTTGTTGTATCACTGTAAGGAACATATAATAATTTGTGATTTTTTTTGTAGGAAAGGAGTAAATACTTGTTTTTTCTAGATGATACTATCTACTTTTATTATTAAACTAACTTCTTAAAAATTGGAAATAAATTTCTTGGAAGCATAATAATTTGATGTGTCTTTTGATAAAATAAAGTGTTCTCAAAATTCTAGGAATTGTAAGGGAAGAACAGAACCTAATATTTTTGTAAAGCTTTCAAATATTGTTACTTGATCTTTGATCCAACAAATTTGGTATTTTTCTTTAGGTATTGGGTTAATGGCTTAGAATCTTCATAGGAGCATATGTGTCTCCATAGTATTCTCTTAAATCCCAAGTATGATTTAGTATCTTATTTGGTATGCACTTGAAGAAAATGTAAAATGTATTCTGTCTTACTGAGTTATTGAATAAAGATGAGATTCAAATCTCATTTGTCTTTAATTAAGAATCTTATTTGTTTTTAAAGAAAGTGGTACTTTTGGGTTTTACAGTTTAAATACTGTATTTAAACAGTGATCTAATGTTGTAATGAAATAGGTAATGAGTATTTAAATGGTCAAAACTAAGCTAATACATGATTTGCTTTCACTAAATTTAATACTAGTCAGTTTAATAATGTGGAAAAATTCTTTGAGTATTTGTAAGCAAAGGAGTAATGGTTTTTAGTGTTTGTAGTAATCAAGAAATTTTTCTAAATAGTATCTGGAATATTCAGGATACAGTTTTTTACATTCTTATCTGGTAGTGTTACCATACCTTATAAGATTCTGTATTTGTCATATAGACAATGCACTAATTACATGGGACAGAATACATAATGAATTATTAGATTTTGTATAATTACTAGAGTTTATTTACCCATTCATTAAATTCACTATGGAATGAAAGAGGATCAATGAGGGAATATCCCTTTCTTGTACTTATGGCATGCTTGCTGCTTATTCTATATAAACATAAGGATAGATAAGATTTGTAAACAATAATGCATAAATAATTCCATTTTAATTGATATTTATTGTATTGAATACTTTCATTCATCAATTGAATTCATTACAGACAAGCAAAGTAGTTTTGATAAAACCATTCTTGAAATTACAAAAATCAAAGCATTACAAATTTGTATCGATTGTCTTTATCCACAATTAAGTCAATATTATAGTTTTTATTTGAAAATTTATTATTTATATCTAATTAGTTTTAAAAATATTTCAAATAATTTGTTTTTTTTAGGTACATAATAAAATTATCAATCAAGATGGCAGGGATATTCAACCTTCTAGTCAAAATGTTATTGGTATTACAGAGGAGGTAAATCTATATTGCTAAAATATATGCTTTTAATAAAATTTTAGCTTTATGTTAAATGTGTATGTTTTTGTTTTTTAATATAAATCTTATTGTTAAAAATTTTATAAATCTTAAAACAGTACAGTTTATAAATTCAGATATTTTTGTTTTTATTAAAAGTTTGTTTGACAGTTATTTACACACTAGTTGTAAATTGCTGATAAATTTACATGAATATATTATCATTGATAAATAAGAATTATGAATGTATATTTAAATTATTAAAAGAGTGTAATAAAATTGAAAACAATACAAGTTTTAAAAAGTAGAGGTGAGAAATACATTAAGAAATTAATTCTAGGGAATACTAAAAGTTATAAATTATAAAACAAAATGTTTCTATTTTAAACAAAATATTGCACAAAATTATAATGTGTTAATATTCGGTGTCAATTTCATGTCAAACTCACATCATAAAGGTCAAAATAAAATATTGTCATAGAGATCAATGTAAATTGGCAGCAGTCAGAAACTCTTTTAATGCGTAGTATGTGATTAGCTTGCAGTTGCAGACTTTACATGGCAAACTTTGGCCTCAAATATTTAGCCTACAGATTGAATTTCAAAGTTTCAGGTTTGTGACAATATTGGCCTTGTTGATTGCTAGAGCATAATTCTCAACTTTTTTTTTTTTTTTTTTTAATTTGGCAACACACACAGTTACTTCACTAAGTACCGAAGGACAACCAGTGATGTCATAACAGTGATTTTTAAATGTAATTGGTTATTTAGGTTCATTTTGTAAACACCTTGGTAACTACAGGTAGTTACCAATAACACCAGTTACAATTTCCAGACATACCCTAGGAAGGTAGAACTGATTGAAATACTTGTCTGACGTTGCTTATGTATGAGTATTCGCAGTGGTGGACTACTTCAAAAATTTTGCTGCACTTTAAGGCACAGTGGTTGAGAATCACTGTCCTAGAGCTTCATGTTTAGTGGTCACACAGTTGTTTTAAACTTTCATCAAAACAAAACATTTTCTGACTTATACAGAGCTCCACTCAATAAATATAAGAAATTACAGAAAGCACATCTTAAGACACAACTGTCATAGACAACACTTGTAGAAAATGCGAAATCATGCATGCAACCATACAACACATTGCATTCAGTTGCAAGCTTTTAACACAAACAGATTACATACATTGACATAACCAAATAGCAAATATAATACATCAGAAAAGCTTGCCCCCAAACAAACTTTACATACTCAAGAACCACACTCAGAGCTGTAACTAGGCAGGTGCAACAGGTGTACTCGCACAGGACCCACTTGAAAAGGGGCCCAAACTGCTGTTCACAAGAAATTATATTTTTAAATTTAAAATTTTTCCACCTTTTTACAGCGTTGTTTGGCGATTACATTTCGCCTTACTTAGACCCTAGATGTCTGCTCACCAGTGTTCCCAACTGTGGCGACTTTTAGAGGGACATAGTGAGGTAGCGGAGACCTCAGACAAATCAGCCAAAAGTAGCGACTTTTGATATTTTTTAATTTATTTTTTGAGAAATTTAAATTTATGTTTATAGTTTTCAAATTTACAGATTTTTCTCTACTTTATAGAGCTCTCTGGCAACTACTAATATTATTACAATATACAAAACTGTATTTCTAGATTTTTCTACAGTGTGCAGAGCTAGAAATCTATAAAGGTAATATTTTGTAACAAAAATAAATCTGTCCAAGGATTTTTTTTAAAATTACTAAATTGAAAATAGTAACTCCTGAATAAAATCTTAGTCCCGAGGTTGTAAAAGGCATGCTGAAAATCTGACATCACTTTTTGCTTTATAGTGGTACGCATATAGTTTGCATACTGAACGGCGGATTAAGCGGTAAGCGAACTATGTGGGCGCATAGGGCTCTGAAGAGGCTCCTGCAGTCTTTAAAATGCTACTGAAAAAAAGGGATTGTGAAAATGCAGAAGATAGAAATGGTCCAGAAAAACGCTTTGATATATATAGATACATGGAAGTAATAAATGATATAGCTTTATGGCCAACAATATTAACAGATGCTATTATTGATCATATTCTTAAAACAAACCAAAAAGTATAGAAAAGGGATTTCTTAATAAACGAAAAAAAATGAATTAAGATAATGGAAAACAATAAAACACCAAATGAAGGAAGTAACTTGACACCCGAAAAATTATTTAAAATACATATTTACAGTGTTCTTGACACTCTATTGTGTCAAATAGATTGGCGTTATGAAAAAATGAAAACTATCTGCGACGATTTTTGCTTTTTCTGTGACAATACATGAGTGTTGCTGATTTTAAAAAATTGGCTGCATATCTCACTATTAAATATAGCAAAGATTTAAAAAAGTAACTTCACAAGTGAAATTGAAAGTTTTAATTTTGAAGTAACGACTCTTATACAAAATATAGAAACTGCATCTTCGCTTAATATTCTACAGGCTCTTCATGATTTTGGTTTAATTGAGTCTTACCCAAATATCAATGTCGCTCTTCGAATATTTCTAACTCTTCCTGTTTCTATTGCTTCGTGCGAGAGAAATTTTAGCAAGTTAAACTTAATAAAAAATTATTTAAGATCAACTAGCGGACAAGAACGATTATCCAATATTTCTATTATTTCAATAGAATACAATATCGTTAAAAATATTAATTATGAT